AGGGAACACATCCTTTTCGCTTATCCGACGAATTTCACTGCAAACTTTGAAAAAAATTTACATTGGTTATTTGGAGTTACGACTTAAAACGTTTGGCAATGTGAAATCGGTAATTGCATGAAATGTTTTCTTCCACATTGCTTCCCGCAGCTTCAAAAATACAGGTCCAAACAATTCTACGATTTTCAATCGATCGAAGCCGGTGTTTTGGAGGTCATCAAGTTTCGAAAACTGCAACACGTACGTCGCTCTTATAAACATGAAGCATTCCAGAAAGTAAAACACAAACTGGATTTAATGGAACAACCATAACTTGACAAAATGCATTCTCGCTGAGGACAAATGTAAACGGGCTATAAACACGCGTGGGAGTCTTGTGTTTAGGTGACGAAATTACCATCCAAAGCAGTCCTTGAGTTTTCTTTCCTGCTTTTCGTTTGCCTGCTCCTCCACTTCGTATCTCACATTATGTTACTGTTGATACATAGTCCCGCCGTTGGTGTTTTTGTTAATTTTGACGTTATTGTTCCTTTGATAAAGTCAGTTTAGCAAATTCAAGAATGTGATAAGTAACATTGTCAAGGATATAAATTGTGTGTTGCTCAAAAACGCGAAGTTAAAGCGATTCTAAACACAAAATTTTCTCAAAATCGCGGAATAGTTAAGTGTCGCGAAATATGCGCACCTCAAAATCGCTAAATAAACGTGTCGCGAAAATTTCATGTAATAAGGTATCTAGTAGAGTACAATTTTACCTACCACTACTGACGGAGTTGGGGAATGAGTTTAATTCTGAAAAGCCTGCAGCTCAGAGGCACTAACCTGACTAACCACCAATATGTTATGTTGTGTTATTTTCGTTTTTTATATTTGTGTTTAATTCCCCCCTTTGTTTTTGAGTGTCAATCTTTGACTGACAGAAGCTAATGTATGGAAGGCGCAGCCTGAGCCTCGGCCTGGCGTAGCCCTGCCTTCGCGTGCTGTTGTCATGCTGACGCGTGCCTTTTGCAGTTTGCGCTGTGCAAAGTTGTTTGTTAGTAGTTCCCAAACTCCCCTTTCATTTCCCGAGTCCCCTCCCCGTTTCCCGTTTTCCCTTCTCCACTGACTTCGGCCAGTGTGACTTTGCAAAGGGCCTCGCTGTGGCGTCGGTTTCTATAGCAACCGTCCAAGTATCGATCCCCCAGACGGGTCCCCTCTTTCGCCTCGGGGCCACTCCACTGGTGCCTTGTCCCTTTGCATTCTAGCCACACCCCACCTCCATTCGTTGCGTAGAGGAACAGATGTTTGTCCAATCCTTTCCCGCGCTCTAGCTCCGCATGTTGAGCTCCGGGAGGGCGAGAAGATGAGACACCCTAGGAACGAGGTTATCGTTTGTTTTGTTTATTGTTGTTGTTTTTTTCCTTTTTGCAACCTTGCAAGAAAGTGACTGAGTCACAGTATACACCAGGACTGAACGCCATCCTACGAAACTAAAGAATATTCCCGGTGGACTAAACAGACATCTATGCAATTTTCTGAAATTGTCAACTGATGAAGGCCGCCGTCCGTGTGATTTACATCATTTACAGGTAAATAGAACAGGTAAAGCCTCTTAGGTCCAACCGGCTCGTAGTTCTCGGTTCTTATCTCCGGTTTCTGAAGCTTGAAGCAGCTTGGAGTATCGTTACTCCCCCCTGGATGGGATGCTAGACCATGGAAGGATTCTGTCAGGTGGCCTCAACCGATCATATTAGATAAGCGACGCGAGGGAAGTTCTGAAGAAGACGCTTCTTCCCAGAAAGTCTCCAGCACCAGACCTTACGCACTCGCGTGAACTGGGTAGATAGCGACTGGTACAAGCCCAGACCCGGCCAACAAGGTTAACTCTTTATCATATTTTAGTAATCAGATCTAAGTTTGTAAAATAATTTGTTTCTTTTTCCTTTTTGAGGGCAAATAAAGTGTTAATTGTTGTTGTCGTCTGATGCGAGCTAAGGGTAAAGGCTATGGAAATAGATAGACCAGCAGGTCCAAAATGATGTCAAAGGAATTTTTTCAGTTTCTGTATGAAACCGTTAATCAAGCCGATCTATTGGTCTACTAGATCCTACTAGTCTTCTACATGAAGCATTTTAGGTCTGTGTACGCCTTCATTTTCTTTTAATTTTCTAGCATTGCCATAACTGTGTAATTGATGATACTGCAGACCACTTTGTTCCTGACTGGATATGAACTCAAAGCGTTGACAAGTCAAATGGACCGGAGCGAAAACATGGCTGGATGAACAGCCTGCTCAGAACTGAGAGCATGCACAAGGAATGACAAAGACCAACTTCATCAGGTCAGCTGGGGATAAAATCGGAACGTTGACTTTAAAATGGAACGAGCGAGATAATTTCTTTCCGGCAGTTTTATGCCTTGGATACCTCTGGGCCGAAATAGTAGGGAAAAAGCTATGCCATTAAACGTAATTCACTTTTAATCAGTGGAAATTCACGTCTTCTGAACGAATTCCCAACGTAATCAATCTCAAGGTATCTTTAGATCATATTCCGGGGGGTCTACAAGTCGCCAATCCTAACTAGGGACGCGAGTTTACAAAGGTCGACAACTAGGCATTTTCATTCTCCAAGAAAAGTTTCACGCATCGTTCGTCGTCACAACGTCTACAATGTCTAAAAATAACTAGAGGAATGACCTATATAGCGGAGAACTCTCTTAACCTTCATCTTTAATTGGTCCAAAAAACGGACGATTTGACTCCCCCCCCGCCCAAAAAAGAAAAAATAATACTAAAATGACTGTATTTAGTGGTTACGACTATAAATTGGGAACACTTTCTAAGACTAGTTTAATTTAAAAATCACAACCTAAAAATTCTTAATTCAAATTACTTTGTTACAGCGGGATACAAATGTGCTCATTCGTGTAGACTTACGATTGTCAAGACATGTCACGGTGACTTGTGTTATGGCTTAGAAAAGTGTCCAGCTTCAAAAACAATCTTCATCGTAACAATGTTATGGGCCTGTGAATTCTGGCAATGTTTCAATCATTCACATCTGGCATTCACAATGGTTAAGATTTGCCCTGTGTAACGTGCCCAATTATAGATACAAGTACATAAACAGCGCAGCTAAACTATTTATATTGAATAAATAAGTAAATACACAGATAAATAAATAAATAAATATATATATAAAAATAAATTAATTAATTAATAATTACTTGAGAGGTAATTTCAGTTCTAACAATATATTCTGCTATGACCCCTTCCGAGGTCTTCCTAAACTACCAATGACCTGAAATAGTCTAAAAAAGGAGAGAAAATTTCTTCATTTGGCATTGGAATAGAATCCTTCTTTCAAATTTGGTTTCTTACCGGAACATTTGCAGGCTTAAACAAATTATTTTAAAAGACTAATGAACAAGGATATTTTTTTCTTAGGTAGTCAGTTAGCTGAGCTTGCTTACTTAATCCAAGGAGAACGTCATGTTGATGAAGGCCACAGGTGCAAACATGGTGTGAAAAACATGTGACGAACATAGTACTTGTATTGCAATTTCTAGCAAATTTGACTGCTGAAATATTCATGTTATCTGTAAACATCTGACACTTTGCAACAGATTTTCCTGAAAAAATACGATGTCCGGATGGTTGTGAATTCAGTTGTCCGTGTATATGTCCGATACACTATGTCAAAGTCAGGAACGTAAACGACTACACTACGTTCAGGAAATCAGCATTAGAATCCCTCAACTGAAGTCGATCAGTTCCATGTTTTACTGTCAGCTGCCACACTGAATATTCCACGAGTGTCCGCGACAGAAATTTCAGATCGCCATCATTCCCAAACAAACATTTCTAAATTTCTGCATTTCACGCCATGTTTGCACTCTTTTGAAAAGACACATGAAAATAAACAGAAGGTCGATTTACCTTCTAACACAATTGCCACTTTGAAAAATTATATAATAATAACATTTAACATGTCTATATAATGAAGATTACTGTTGTACGCCAAGTATTCTTGGGTCTGTAAAGGGACCGTCCAGTTTTCGTTGTGAACAGAGTGAACATGAACATATCACATGCTCACATGGATATGACAGTGTTACTCATTTCATTCCAATACGTGAATATATCAACGTTTCTTGGGGCTAATTGTGTGCACTTCTTAAACTTGCCAGTCTTTCAGCTCTGTCTTCTTCCCTGACACTTTTCGTTTCATCTGCATAATCACAATCTGAGTCATCTGAGTCAGAATCGTTGTCAATCATTTTCCTCTTAGTTCCAGTGTTCTGTTTTGTTTTCTCGTGAGTCACCATGTGTTTGTTCAGTTCCTGCCGGCGGCTGAATTTCTTTTGACACTGTGAACACTCGTAGGGTTTCTCTCCAGTGTGTGTCCTCTCATGGAACTGCAGCTGACATCCCTGGGCAAAGGCTTTACTGCAGTAACTGCATTTGTAAGGCTTCTCTCCAGTGTGTGTGCGGATATGCCTCACAAGGCTGTATTTATCAACAAATGCTTTATCACACTGATCACAAGCATATGGCTTCTCACCAGTGTGAGATCGTTCATGAATTTTGTGGCGAGATGGATCAGCATATGCCATGGAGCAGTACCTGCATTTGTATGGTTTTACACCTGTATGTTTGTTGACGTGAATTTCTAATTGGAATTTACTCACAGTGGTAAAAGAGCATTGTTCACAATGTAAAACGTTACCGGTATGCATTCTAACGTGACGTCCCAATAAAGTCGAGTTAGAAAAAGATCTGGAGCAAAATTTACACACGTACGGTTTTTCACCAGTGTGAGTTTTTAGATGAATACGCATTTTCTGCACATTAGAAAACGTCTTTTGGCAAATCCAACACTCTGTCACCATATGGCTGTAAACCCTGTGCTCCAAACAGCCTCTCAGTGAATCAAACTCTTCAACACAATGGCAACAGCGAAAGTAACCTGGACTTGCACCTGAAAATAAATAATCTAAATATTAGTCTGTACTCACTCTGTACACAATAGTAAAGGTTGAATAGTCAGGATAATTTCTACTGTGTGTAGGATTAGGGTTCCTCAAAAAAAATCGTCTGACATAAATGGTAAATTTTTCAACCTAAAAAGCCATTATCAGGGATGGAGACTGTAACTTCATGGTCATTATAAGTTTAATCAGCCATGAAACAAATATAATTAATGCCTTGTCCCATTTGTGTGTAAATAACAAGAAACATAATCAAGATGAAATGTTCCATGAGCATGGGACAAAGAAAAAAAAATCAGCAATGTCAAAAGCGTCATGTGTGATAAATGAAAGATGGTAAATTTGCATTCATCACACACATGACGTTTTCTACACTGCTGATCCTAACATTGTCAG